TAACCGTCTTTTCTTCTGTGATGCATTTTGGGACATCTTCAGCAATGTTGGCATGGCCAGGTCTTTCTGTGCATCATCACTGGATAATAAATTATGCTAGTTGGCATCCATTCTGAATACTGGCCAAGCCATAATTGGCCTAGCAAATCTGAACATGTGACAACTGAATAATAAACATTCAAAATGAATTCAAAACAGTTTATTTGCTATTTCATTTATTCCTGAATATCAGTTAGGAATAGGAGTTGCATACTTCAGCTCTGTACAGTTTGTGTTCAAGCGTTTATACTTATTTGGAGACTAGCAAAAATTAATTTAAATTCAAATGCTTATGGTTGAGGAAACACCCAAAGGGCAGTTTCACAACCAAATTCCTGTGATGCTCATAAAAACAGGTGTTGAATTCCAAAAGCCCAGATAAGGATTTTTAATCAAGAAACTGTCCTGGATAAAAATGTTGTTTATTTATACATACGTAATAGTCTTTAGAACCTTTAAACAGGAATATCTTTACATAGGCCCCAATCCTCCTCTCAAATAAGTAAATGGCAAAGCTCTTATTGACTTTAATTGGAGTATGATCATGTGCCCAATTAACTTTTTTTTTTAATATCCAGTATGCCCACATCTTTGTTATTGTAGGGCTGCTCATCAGGGCTGGGAATATAGATTAATTTAAACTTTTCACTCCTATTCATGTAAGTACAACCCTGAAATGTGGGATTGTACTAAGTATGTGGGACAGAACTAGTGTTATGTTTGAACTGTGTCAAAATGTGCAAGAAGGGAAATAGGGGTATGCTTCCAAGCTCCTTCCACTTGAGATGGTGCTCTCAATGGATTGTACAGATGTTCAGAATATGATCATGCAGTCTTTGTGAGTTCTTTGACCTGGACTCCCTTTCAGTCATGTTCATATATACCCCTGGGCTCTATGGAGATTCGTGGTGGGCCTTAGATGCCACGCAGGGCTGCTTAGGCTTGTGTGATGAATTGGGGCTGTATCTGTGCAATATATAAATCCTGAATGATATTGTGAAGGTGTATTATGAAAAACTGCTGTATTATGAGTGCCTATATGTTTATGGATCCAGGGCCTGCAGCATGTACACCCCAGACAAATGCAAAGGGAAATATTTAAGGTTAATGACAGTGCTTAAACCTCACAAAGGTTATACAAAAAAAGCAGCTGCATCCTTATAAAAATAGTTTAGCTGTTTCCTCTGGAGGAGCAATGGAAAGTAACCAGGAGGAAAACAAAACAGGCCAGATGACCAGGAGTGGCTAAAAATAAACACACAGGAGCCAGACAGGAAGAGGGAGTGTGTGGGGAAAGAGAGAGCAAGATCACAGAATCTGGGTAAGAGGGATCCAGAAGATAGAGACCATCCAGCATGTAGTAGCCTCAGGGGGTCCCAGTCCACTTTTGTGAGACCAGATGTCCCTGAGGATTTTGGACAACCCAAGGGACTTGGACCCCTGCCCCAGGGGCATAGCTAAAATTATGCAAATGATGTAGTTGCACCAGGGTTACATGACTATGGAAGCCCTACCAGACAAAGCAGCATTCTAGTGTAGTGGGTTGCTACACCACTCATTCAAATTGGACCTGGCTGGAAGTTCTCAGGGCAGTGGGTGAGGGACCGGGGGGCAAGTTTTAGGTGGACTATGGGGTGAATGGGGAATGTTTGGGGAACTATGGGGTGAGGTGTTGGGGGTGAGTGGGACACATTGGGGTGGTAGGTTGGGGATAAGCAAAAGTTTAGATTTTGGAATCGGGAAGGGGGCCCCTAACCTATTCTTGCATTAGGGCCCTAGAGCCTTGTTACACCACTGCCCCGCCCAAAGAATGTGCTGAAGTGATGAGGAAACGGAGGCAGAGACATTGCATTTAGTGCTTATTTTGTATGAACTGTACTCTCCTGTACTTTACATGATTAAATATAAAAGAGCATAAAGGTATTAGACTGTACAAAGTGTGTATGTGTGAGAGAGAATTTTTTCACAACTACTGTATGCTCCTGAGAAAGTTAAACTATGATAGAAGCTCCACACCTTTTGGGTGGAGTCCTGTGAAAGGACTTGTTTAACTGGGGTATCTTTAGGGAGGGAGTGCTGGGCTTAAGGCAGGTGGATTAAGAAGACCCATTTCTGAAAAGAGTCCGTGTCCAGGAAATGTGATAGAGAAGGCCAATGGAGGAACCCGTGCAGCAGCCTGTTGAGGCTTCAGAAACTTAACAGGAGACGCAGAGCACTCAGGGAATGCAGAGCACAGACTCTTGGATTCCCCTCACAGCAGGTGAAGTCCATGAGTAGGAGGGAATGGTCACTAGGATCTGTGACACCTTGGTATCTTTTTGACTGGTGTTACTGATGGGGAATAAATGTTGGTACCCATTAAAAATAATCCCCCAAACCCATCCACGTATGATGCCAAAATGAGCTGTCACTCAAAGTAAATTTTATAGATTGATTATATTTACCTCCTTTCTTTGATAAGCAGTTAACTAGTTAACATTGATCAAGTATAATAATTGATAGCCTCAAATAATATTAATGGGGAAGTTCATATTTCCCAGAGCTGTTATGTTAGGCTCTCTGCAAACTCAAGCAGATGTCACTCCCTCAGTTACTCAAATTTTCAGGTTTTCCTAGTGACCACAAAATGAAAGCTGAGATTCTGGAGGACCGGAAAGCAGTTTGAGAGATGTGCTGATAGGTTGTACCACTACATACTGCCCAGATTGATCCCTGAACAGAATTTTTGTGCAACTTCTTGCTTTTAAAAAAAAATTCAAATTGAGCCCAAACCTAGAAGCATTCAGATAATAAACTTCAAACATGTCTTTTCAGTAGGGCTGTCCATTAATCGTAGTTAACTCACACGATTAACTCAAAAAATTAATTGTGATTAAAAAATTAATCACAATTAATCTCACTTTTAATCGCATTGTTAAACATCAGAATACCAATTGAAATATATTACACATTTTTGGATGTTTTTCCACATTTTCAAATGTATTAATTTCAATTACAACACAGAATACAAAGTGTACAGTGCTCACTTTATATTATTATTTTTAATACAAATTTTTACACTGTAAAAATGATAAAGAAATGGTATTTTTCAAGTCACCTCATACAAATACTGTTGTCATTCTCTTTATCATGGAAGTGCAACTTACAAATGTAAATTTTTTGTTGTTGTTGCATAACTGCACTCAGAAACAATGTAAAACTTTAGGACTGAGTGAACTTGTAGGCTCTACTTCTTGGTCAGCCAAAAGCTAAGACAAACAAGTTTGTTTACATTCTCAGGACATAATACTGCCCGCTTCTTATTTACAATGTTACCTTAAAGTGAGAACAGGAGTTTGCATTGCACTTCTGTAGCTGGCATTGCAAGGTATTTACATGCCAGGTATGCTAAACATTTGTATGCCCCTTCATGCTCCGGCCACTATTCCAGAGGACATGCTTCCATGCTGATGATGCTCTTAAAAAAAAAAAAAGCATTAATTGGATTTGTGATTGAACTCCGTGGGGGAGAATTGTATGTCCCCTGCTCTGTGATTTACCCGCATTCTGCCATATGTTTCATGTTATAGCAGTCTCGGATGATGACCCAGCACACGTTGTTCATTTTAAGAACACTTTCACTGCAGATTTGACAAAACGCAAAGAAGGTACCAGTGTGAGATTTCTAAAGATAGCCACAGCACTCAACCTGAGGTTTAAGAATCTGAAGTGCCTTCCAAAATCTGAGAGGGACGAGGTGTGGAACATGCTTTCAGAAGTTTTAAAAGAGCAACATTCCGATGTGGAAACTACAGAACCCGAACCACCAAAAATACAACCTTCTGC